TAAACATAAAAAAAAAAAAAGAATACATTCTGAGGATCTAATATACAGGATGGCGATTATAGATAATTATCCAGTATTGTAAACTGGAAAGTTGCTGAGAATACCTATTAAGTGTTCTCACCACCACCAAAAAAATAAAAATAGTTAACTATGTGAGATCAAAATGTTATCCTGATCTTGACAATCATTCCACAATGCATATGTAGATCAAATCATCATGTTGGACACTTGAAATAACATATAATTGCAATTGTCAGTTATCCCTCAATAACACTGGAAAGAGAAAAAGAAAGTCCAGAGCCAAAAATCAGAATACTATTAACATGAATTGATTTTTGGTAACATTAATAAGAAAATAAATTGCATTTGGAGCCTTAAAAAAAAAATGGTAGATGAGATCTCTCAGAAAGAGAGGGTGTTAGGTCTCTTAAGAGGGGCGGGTTTCCCAGGGCCTGGATGGACATTAAGAGGTAGGAACATCCCCAACGGTGGAAATCCGATTTGACAAGAGTGGGGGCCAACAGGAGAGACTACAGAGGCTGGAGACCATCAAGTACAGCAGACCTCGGTCTAACTGCCAAGGTCACAGATTCAATCCGGACTCCTCCCCAGCCTCACCCTGCTGGGGCCCCACTGCAGAAGCAGGAAGTACTGCAGAGACCCAGCTTCCTCTCTGGGTGTTTTGGCATAGCCAGGCCACCCCCTCACTCCCAGGGACCTTCCCACGTGGGCACTGAAGCACTTTCACTTCCCCCAGGTGCCCAGCCCCTTCCCCAGCATATGGGAACAGCGTGGTGTACATTTGTTGTCAAGAACCGGATGCAGACTCTGAGAGAGAGGCCATGACAAGGTGCGGGGATGGGGCATAAGCAGAGAAAAGACAGGCATGCTGAGAGAAGGGGCCAGAAACCCAGAGAGGGAGAGGGTAGATGCGGGGAAGGTGAGGTGGGAGGTGTTGGGGGAGGGACACCAGAGACCCAGAGAGAGGACAGAGACCCAGAGAAGGGAGGACCAGAGACAGAGGGCCAGGAAGAGGGGACAGAGATGGATGCAGAGATGGCAAAGCTTAGCAGGCAGTGAGGTCAGAGTGTCTGTGAGGTCGGCTGCTGTCCAGGGCTGGCCTGGGGCCCCAGGGCCCAGAGTAGGTGGGTGCAAGTAGATCAGGAGTCCCTGCGGGTCCCCCAGCCTGAGCCATGGAGACCTGGGAGGAACTACCCAACGTGTCCTTGGTGCCCACAAGTCCCAAGGCCCCTCGGGTACTGGTGTGTGTCTGAGTGGGGCAGATGAGGGCGACAGGGGCCCAGATAGACGAGAAAGCCACCTCGAGGGTGTAGAGGGAGGGGGCGGGGCTCCACCTCTGGAACTTCCTCTTTCTCGGTGTTCTTCCTTTCTCCCTCCCCCTCTCTCACAGCCTCTTTCTGCCCTTCTCCTCCACTGCTAACACCTCTTCTGTTCGGTCCCTCCCCTCTGGCTGCCCACCCCTCTAGGCGAAGATGTCGGCCCAGGACAGCTGCCTCAGCCTCATCAAGTACCTCCTCTTCGTTTTCAACCTCTTCTTCTTCGTGAGTTGCCACATGGCTACCCAGCCCAGGCCCCAGCCCCTGCCACAGCCACCTGACCTGATATCCCCCCCTCCTTTGCCCACCGCCATATTCTCATCTCCTCCCTCCAGGTCCTAGGCAGCCTTATTTTCTGCTTTGGCATCTGGATACTCATTGACAAGACCAGCTTCGTGTCCTTTGTAGGTGAGGGGGCCAGGGCTCCTGGGAGGGGCCTCCTGGAGCAAGTGTGACCCGGTCTGCCCCTAAGTGACATCCCGGGGTCTCCCTTGTCCCAGACTCTGCTTCACAGCCTGCCCACTGCTCTTAGTCTCAGTGCCTTCCTCTGGCAAATGAGTTGTGCATATGAATACTAATAAAAATGATAATAGCCATTTCTCAGGCACTTCCTACGTGTTAGATGTAGTGCAGATCCTTATCAGATCCTCCCACAAACCTTCCCCTCTCTTGAGGTTCAGGGAGGGGACGTCACTTACTGGCTGTCACGCAGCAAGGAAATGGAAGAGCAGATATAACAATAATAATAATAATAATAATAATAGTAGGAAAATAATAATGGAGTGATAATCGAAATACTGATAGCTCACGTTTAATAAGTGTGTGCCCTGTACTGAGGACTGCGTTGAGCGCATGCCTCCCATGTGTCCCTGAAAATAGCACTCAGAAATAGATATCATGCACCCCTACCCCTTGGGAGGTCTAAGTGACAGATGTACTGCCAAGTGATGGGACTGAAACTTTTGGGGGTGAGGAGGGGCTGAAGGAGGAAAGAGAGACTGAGAGCAAGAGGGAGAGACTATGACCAGGGAGAAAGGAACAGAGATCCAGAGAGAAGGGAACAGAGACCTAGAGAGGGTGTTGAGGGGACGGTGACTCAGGAGGAACAGAGTGCCAGAGAGAGGGGTAGATAGCATCCCAGGAGAGGAACAGAGACTCAACATGTGGCAGGGACAGACACGCAGAGAAAGAGCCCCCCCCCCCAATACTCCTCCCCAATTGAG